AGGTTATGAGCCCCAATGAAACATGAGTTCTTTATACAATAAATATAAACAGGTTTAAGTGCACCCTCTCCCAGGTTTGTGCAAAACTTGACTAATGTACATTAGAATTTATATAAATACCTGCCAGGGGTCCCATAATATTTTTTTAATTAAGGTCAATCTCCTTCTAACGTGGGGTGAAGACAACAACCTCACCCTCAATGTCAGCAAAACCAAGGAACTGATCGTTGATTTCAGGAAACTGCAAAACGGACATGACCCTATCCACATCAATGGGACCGAAGTTGAAAGGGTCAGTAACTTTAAATTCCTTGGTGTCCATATCACCGAGGACCTCACATGGTCTCTCAATGCCACCTGTCTGATCAAGAAAGCGCAACAGCACCTGTACTTCCTAAGACGGTTGAAGAAGGCTAAGATATGTGCCCAGATCCTCACTAACGTTTACAGATGCACTACAGAAAGCACACTGACATGTTGCATCACAGTGTGGTATGGCAACTGCAGTATTGCCGACCGCAAATCCCTACAGCGAGTGGTGAAAACTGCCCAGTCCATCACTGGGGTTGCCCTCCCATCCATACAGGACAATTATGACAGACGGTGCTTAAGGAAACCCCTAATCATCATCAAATATCTCACACATCCCAGCTACAGACTGTATGACCGTCTACCATGTGGAAAACGGTACCAGAGCATTCAGGCCCGGACTACAAGACTCAAAGACAGTTTTTACCCCCGCACTATCAAACTCTTAAATTCCCAGCCTCTCTCACTCTCACTCTCACCTCTCACCTATGATCTGAACCCCCACAGTGCCTTCTTTCTTACCAAAAACTCAAACACACATTGAAATCTACCTCTACCTTACATGTCAAAAAGCTCACTCCCCATAATTTCTATCCTTTTATTTCATGCATGTTTTTGCACATCTGATGTTGTTTTTGCACATTACCTGTTACCTTTTTGTTGTTTTGCATTGCATTGTCTATCTTCTAAATTAAATTAAGCAACGGCATGCCATTTTGAAAGTTGCATATTGAATGTTGCATGTTGCATGTTGAGACAATTGCCTGGACAATGACACAGAGCTGAGCGAATCTGCAAATAAATGCAAGGGTAATAAAAGGTGCAGTTCGGCTTGGTATCGATAGCCTCCACCACACTTCCCACATCCTGCTTGTCTTGAATCTGTGTGAATGCTTCCTCTTACCACTAGGGCACACAGTGTTTTCTAGCCGAATTATTTCTTCTAGCTCACCATTTTCCTTCATGATCGTGTTAATTTCTTGCATAATAGGAATTGGGAAAAGAAAAGAGACATCACCAGCTACTGTAATTCATTACAAAAATAAAATATAAATAACATATAAATTGAATATAATTAAAGTAAATAAAATATAAATTAAACAGATTAAATAAAGCTACCATTTTGGTAACATCTAACATAGCAAGTGCCATCTAGCTTTTTGTTAACAAGTGCCACCTACTAGTTCGTTTTAAGCTATGAAGGGCTGAAAGCAGTGTGCCAGACAGGACTAAGGTGTGCTTTCCACTGACATGGACTTTGACATGCATTCTAGATGGCTGCATCTGTACAAGTAAGTCCACTGAAATGGTCCATTACAACAGTGGGAAGCTTGCATAGGAGAGCAATTAGCACATTGTCATGCATCTATTGCCAATTTTTTATATTTCTCATAAAAGGAAAACATTTATAATTGAAAAAACTTTTTAATAAGGTAGAAAAAAAGGTTTTTGCTTTCAGGTCTGTTTCTGTGGTAGCTGTATCAGTGGTACAGCTAGTGCTGCACACAATAAATTCACATTATGGTCAACAAAAAAACCAAAGTTTCTGTGCTATATGTTTGAA